CTACACTTTCCCATTACACAGAGACTGGACAACAAATGATACAGCTAGTTCTCCCAGGACTTGACCATGCTTTCAATTTTCTCAGGGTCCCCTAGAGATGTCCTTACTCCCAGACAACAGGAAAGCAATCTAGAAAACATGATGCCAACATTCCCAAGAGGTGGGGCAGGTGGTTTTTTTGGTTGTTTGGTGGATTATGGATGTTTGTCATTGTTCAGGTGGGTTGGTTGCAAGTTGTTATTGGTCACAGTCAGGGAGGAAACTAAGCAAAGCAGATTAAATTCAGGGATCTCATTCTGAAAAGAAAAAGGGGGATATAGAAATGACAAGATAAAGGGTAAATTATTGAATCTACTTTTAAACTAAAAACAACTACTAGTCTCTAATATTTTACATTGGTATGGCTTTTTGCACATTGAAACAAATGTAAGGTTATTTTTGTTAGAACATACACTATATATGTCTACTCTTGTTTAAGATACTTTTGTATATTGATGCAAATTTAAGGTTATTTTGTTATACTATTTCTACTCTTGTTTAAGGTATTATACTTATGCAGCTCATTAAAAAATGTAAAGTTTTAGTCCTTGAAAGCTACTTAGGATAATAAAGAAATACAGGTTAGCAGTTAGTTATCTAACAATGAAATTTGTGGCCATGTTAGGTATATTTTCAAGGTCAAACAGAGATATATTTTAGATAGACATATGGTCTTCAAACATTTCAGAGACATAAAGAATATGATATTTAAGATGTTTTAATAACCTAAGACTTTTCATGACAGTAAGACATATCTGCTCCTGGCAGCATCAATTTACTTCAAAAAAAGGATGATGGACATTGAAGAACCTCCATGGAGTTTGCTTTTATTGTGGCTAAGTTAGCCACTGGGCAAGAAACTGCCCTGGCCTCAACTGATGACAAATATGCTATCCAAATTGGATAAGAGTGCTGAACTTTGCCAAGACAAGGCAGGACAGTCCTTCAAAATCCCTGCTTCACAGAAAAGTCTATCAGATAATCTAGGCATGTAGGCCAAAGATGGATGCCCCCACACTGCAGAGGAACCTTGGGTTATTGTCCAGGCAGCCAGCTCTCTTTGGCATTTCTATAGTTTTGGATGTTGTTTGTTCTGTACTTCCTATTTACTCAGGTAATATTTTATCCTTCTTGGGTCTCTGATAGGGATTGAAGACTAGATAGTTGTACAGTTTTCCTTGTTACCAAATTCAGAAAAATAACTTACATAAAATATGTAAAGTTTATAGGTTAAAAAACATGAAAGCTTAAGTTATTTATCTAAGAAGGTGTTAAGTCTAAAAAGATATTTTTAAGATGGTAATATAAGTTATATTAGAAAATGATTTAGGCATAAAACTTTGGACTCATCAAGATAAGATAGATAATAAAGTAATTTTTCCAAATTTGACAAATACAAATAGATTGGACATTATGAATGTGAATTCTTCCTTGATAATTGTTCTTATTGTATATAATTTTACTGTATAAGATTTAAAACCTTTCCTTTTTATTTAGACACAAGGGGAAGTGTGGAATTTTTGTTCACTGTGTGAAAATGTACTGCTGTGATTGGTGTAATAAAATGTAATAAAAAGCTGAACAGCCAATAGCTAGGCAGGAGCTATAGGCAGGACTTCTGGGCAGAGAGAGAACTCCAGGAAGAAGAAGGCAGAGTCGCCAGCCAGAGGCAGAGGAAGCAGCATGGGCAGTTATGGAGAGATGAGGTAATGAGGCATGCGACATAATGTAGAGTAGCATAAATGGGTTAATTTAAGGTATCAGAGCTAGTGGGACAAGCCTAAGCTAAGGCCGAGCAGTTTTCATAATTAATAAGAAGTCTCTGTGAGTTATTTGTGGTCTGGTGGCAGATGAGAAACTACTACTACAAGAATGTTAGCCAAATTCTCTAAAGGGCAGCTCAACACAGTATGACCAGAAAGCCACCTTGTCTCAACTTAAAAAAAAAAAAGTGAAGCTTGGTGGCACACACTTTTAACCCCAGCGTTAGAGAGACAGAGGCAGGAGGATCTCTGTGAGTCACAGGCCAGCCTGTAGTTTTAGATCAGCCCCAGAAGGACAATGAGATAATGGGCCACATTACAGCTTCCACAACAAGATTCTTTTCTTTTTGCTTTTTCTGTTTTTGTTTGTTTGGTTGGTTTTTCTTTTAAATTTGGTTTTGGGAGGAGGTTGCAAGGGCAGAGGGCGGATTCGAGGGGGTGAGATAAGTGGGGATTGGAATGCATGATGTGAAATCCACAAAGAAGCAATAAAAGTTAACAAAAAAAAAAAAAAGAAGTCACTTTGAAATCAATCCACTTGCTCTTCTCTTATTACTTTCCCATGTGGTCTTTTCTGTCTATAAAAATTCTTTTCTTTGGTTTTTTTGAGATAAGATTTCATTATGTAGTCTGGGCTGTCCCTGCTAATTTTCAATCCTCCTGCCTCAGCCTCCCCAAGTTGCTGAGAGTACAGGTGTATACCATAGTAGACATCTTATGGTGAGTTTGCCTTTTGGTAAAAATGAAAGCAAAGCACAAGATAAAGCAAGCAGAGCCTTCCTGGTATGTCATGATTGTCAGTACTTTTAGAGGCTGGACAAACAGACATCTGTGGGAAATCAAAATATGAACCACTCCCGTTACCAAAGAGATCATCTTCAAGTCACAAGACAATGAAAACTACGCTAGTGTGCAACCCCACATACAACACTAAGAAGAACATTAAATCTCACCCCCTACACATCTCTGAGCAATTCTCCACCCACAGTGACTGTATAAGGAGCACTTCTTTCTAAAACTATTTGTAAATTTACATTTCTATGGGCCTTGGAAATGTACATACCAAGAAGTGTAGTAAAACTAAGGTAGAAACCAGTCCGGCATTAGCAGTCTTTTGGAAAGGCTCTACAAACAGGATTTGATTGTATGACCTGTTCTAATATAAAAGCCAAAAGGTAAAATGTTAAATATTTCACTAACTTACCACACAGAAAAAGGTACCTTTATCCTTCTAAAATGTAAAACCAAGTCCCCTCATTCTAGTAAACACATGAGAATGTCTTAAAAAATACAGCAAATATCTGAGAACCTTGTACTTTATAAGCTTGGACTGGCTCACATGTTTTCTTGGTACCTACTGCACGAAGGCAAACAACACCATCATAAGAAGAGGATGACATGACACCAGTCCCCACAGCACCGAGAACACAGCTTTCGGCTTCACACAACCGATGCACGTTAGTGAGCATCACTCGGTGCCACAAATGAGGATAAAAATCTAAACGGAAACATCACCAACCTTGATATATGCAATTCCATTTGTGATCTGCATACAGATGACAACTTTGAATGATTCCTTATATGCATTGCAATAAGCCCTAATAAACGTCTATTTAATTTTGTTATCTGCTTTAAATTGAAAAAAAACCCTGATAATCTAAGTGTGTATGCATTGTTTTAGAATATTATCGTGTTATTTAAGTAGAAATCCTTCATTATGATAGCTCAAGTATGTGCCTAAAGATGTCTTATACATGAAAATTATATAGTTCTTCCTCATGTTGTAACTATGTAGAAATCAAAGGAGTACAAAGTACGACTAACAGAAAACATACACTCTCTCACTCACATACTACAAACTTAATTTCCTAAAAGACAAGGGAAGAGACGATTTCTCACTCGGAGGATAAAATCACATTTGTCAGTGAACCAGACTAATACTCTAAAGCTGCTGCTAGATGCCAGGCTTGATCCTGTGCAAAATACACAAAACACAGAACAGAGAAGACAGTCATGGTAAGCAAAAGCACAATGTAAGGAAGCAAAAAACGGCAAAAACCATGTGGCTAATGCAGAAAAAGAGCCATGGAACTGGGTAAGGACACTGGTTCCAGCTAGAAGGAAGGGAGAGGAAAAAAGAAATGGGGCTGTCCTGTAGAGGGCTGAGGACTGGGGGATGAAGCTAGGATGGCTAGTTCATCTCCTGAACAGGAAATTGCCCACCAACTTCCCAGGACTAGAGGGTTATGGAGAAGTCAAGGAAGCTGGGCTTTAGCTCCGTCTACAGTCCACAGTTCCACCCACTCCAGATGAGAAAGCTCTTACTCACACAGTGAGAGAAGGAACTACCTACTGAGATGATCCAAATAAAATATGGAGCTCAAAGTACTCACAGGGGTTAAAATCCCTACAGCAACTCCAAAACCACAGGGAAAAAAGAGCATCTACCCTTAAAAATCACCTCCCCAGAGTGAGGAAGAGAACTCAGTGAATTTGCTAGTTTAGTGCAGGAGAGAATGTTCTGGGGCTCTTTCAGTCTACCAAGTAAATCACTGCAAACTTCGCAGTCAATTACCACAGTCTGAAACACATTACATTTCGTTCTATATTCAGCAGGAGTACAGAGCAGATAGTGAGGCTGCGAGCTGCGCATTTTATACATTACCTTACAGTTATGACAAGTGTATCTTTATGCAGAATATTTCTCTCATGTCTACTTTCTTACAATATGCCACAACGAAGAAGAAAAAAGCAGAACTGTTACAGAGATCTAAAATATCATTAGCAGTTTCTCACCTTTAATGGAAGAAGTACTGATATCTATCAGACAAATCTACCAAATAAATAAAAAATGCATAGGTCCTAACAAAGATAAATATCCTTTCCATCATGGCACACAGAAAATTCGATGTTAATTTTATTCACCGAAAACAATGCGTGCAGTTCAAGGAACAAACAACTTTCAGTGTCTGACATTTAAGAGGGCAGCTTCCTTAAGATCCACACTTCCCTAGCTCCATGAAGCTGTCACAACCACCAGGAAGAGAGAGCAGCATTTCATTTCACAGTGCAAAGATGCCAGTACAAACAGCTTACAAATATGTCCGTATAAACACGTACGTACGTACTCAGAGCACACTGAACAGAATTGCACTGTAAAGCAAGACCTTATTCCTGGAAGCATTGGCACGAACTTACCTTGCGCCCATCACTTGCATGGCAGTTCACATTGAGAGGTGTCAGTAAGGCCATCAGTTTGTCTTCATTACCACTCCTATAAAAGGCAGGGAGTCAATTTCTATAATCACAGGGCTGCTTAGGAGTATTTACGGGTGTTTTCATTAAGAGTGGAAAACAAAGATGTTGCCTTATTTTTTAAATATGGATCACAATGCATGTCTTAATATTTATTTCAGTTAACATAATTCCTGTCAATTATGTAGTGTTACGATATCTTGGGTAATGTAGCTTTCTACATTTAAAAATTTATCTATAGAGTCATTTTAATTACAAACAAACTTTATTATGAAAATAGGATATAAAACTCTGGAGTTTAAAAATACAAATTCTATAAAGAGGTAATCAATTAAATTATAAACGACCATTACTATCACCACCATCAACAAAACAGCTGAGGATTTTAACGTTTACTTCACTAAGTCTTTCCTTCAAGCTTGGCTAGGGAAAAAATCTTCAAAGCAAAAGAAAGACATAGGCATAGAAACACTCCAAACATATCTTTTGAAACGTTTGCAGGTACCTCAAGATAGGTTACAAATAAAATTAGCCCTACACTACTCAGCACAGTGACGGATTCTGTCATTGTGCCCACTAGCAATGTAAAATAAAGTACACAAAGACTTAGTAGACCTTATCCACACTATCCCTTAAAAGCCAAGCAAGACAAGAACAGGTTATAAATCTTTATACTCCTCCACCTGCCCGCCCTCCCCCTTTCCTCCCTTAGATGCATTATACTCACTTAAAATGAATGGAATCACTTACCTAGCAGCTTCTAGGAGTTCGTCTTTTTTGTATTCACCTAGATGATTGCAAAATATCATGCTGTTAGCATTTGGCAGAAGACAGATTAAGAAATGCAGTAGGCAGCAAATAGAGAATTAAATAGAGAAGAACAGAAAAAGAGAGTCCACACCCCGCTGGGTGATGGAGCCGTGACGTTAGCCAGCTTGTGAAGGCAGCATCACCAGTGCCTTGGAGACGGGCAGCAAATTGACGCAGCTTCTTGTCCAATCCTCAGATGAAATAGCTTTCTTCAGACAACCAATGAATGCTAAATCTCGAGTCCAGGAACACATTCCCTCTGATAACAGCATGCCAGCTCAAGACAATGTCCCTTCCCCCCGTTTGTATTCAGGCTGTCACAGTATACTTGTGAAGCATAATACATTTTGAGACAAAAGCAAAATAATGTGGCTCTTTAAAGGTACGAATTACTAGCCTTCAAAAAAACCTCAGTTTTATTTCTAACGGCATGGAAAGTTTTTTTTTTTAATTGATTACCATCACTGAGCTTTATAGCAAGAAAAAGGAAAGAAAGAAATGTAAATATCAGAACCACGAATCCTTTCTCGCCTCGACAGGGAAGGTCTGTAGACGAGAAATACGTGAACTACGTACCAAACGCAGCGAGCCTCTTGGAGGCAGTGCTCCAAAACCAAAACAGAGAGCACATTCTTTAACCGGCAACAATAACCTAACCTGCATCAGCCTTTATCCTCGGTACGCCCAATTTTAGCAACAGTAAATCTTAGGAAGTAGGCATCTCAGGAAATGAGCAGGGAACCAGTTACTACGCCATGGGTAATGTTACTCTATTTTTCACAACAGACTTTTCAAAATGTATCAGTGAAAATAGAAATTACAAATCTTTCATGGCAGATTTCTTAGAGTACTCAAGATCTAACAAGTTTCTTTTGCGAGCTCAACTGAGGGACAAGGAACCTTAACAATAATAACACCGTGTTTGTTCCTTCATTAAATAAAAAGAACAGCCAGGGTTATGATTCAGCTATAAGGCAGTTGGTAATATCATTAAAGAGATAATTATACAAATTGTCTTAACATGTCATCTGTGAAAAAATATCAGGTATACATTAGCAAAAGAAAACTTTAGATTAAATAAAAGTTAAATAATAACCTTGAATTGTTTTAAAATACTTATTTGTGGTCATATCTTTCTTTACATTTTCTTTGCATTTTGCCATAAAGTTGAACTATTTTAATGCAAACACTACAAAGATACCAAGGACCACTGAGTAGCTGCTTAAATCCTATAATCCACTATTAACAAATATTATATAGCTTTGCCTTTGTCTTGTCTCTTGGATTGGAACTAGGCTAAAATCTAAAAACTATAATCATGTTTTCAAATAGAATTTATTTGAAATTATTAAGGGAATAATAATTTAAGGGAATCTTATACCAATGAAATCTGTTCTATGCATCCCTCAGTTCCATATGGTAGGTTGAACAATTTCAGAATCACAGAATTAGTCTTTCCAATTTCCTATAAATTGTAGTTCAGGTTGTTTAATAATTAACCACGCAAAAGTAAAACTGTATCTTCTGGCCAAAAAGGCTCAAAGCTAAAGACTTCCCTTCATTAAACATTTTTTACAGCAATATGGAAGTTGAACATACTACAAATATGATGTTATAAAGTCAAATTTAAAACTAAAAAGCCTGAATAATTATAATCTAAATAATGCAAATTATGGAATATATCTATAAAAGCCACTCGTGCATTCCAAAGGAATATTATCCTATTAAAGGGGAGTGAGAACAGTAAGCACACGGTTGCAGCAGACTGTGGGGAAATCTATGAAATACTGTTCCGGGCTTACTGGCTAGTCTCAATAGGATTAGGAACAGGCTGACTGTGGGTTAAGGAGGTCTTTCGGGAGAGTTTTAAAGAAGAAAGGAGTGGCTTTCAGGTGAGGAATGTGGGAGAGGAGGAAAGGCCGGAGAGAAGAGGGGAAATGCTGGCTCTTCCTAGAAAGGCCAAGGACATCTGCAGGACAATGAGGCAGACGAAATGCAAGGACCAAGTTTGAGCTTGCTGAGAAAATGTTGAAATGTTTTAACAGGAAGAATGCAAAATACATTGTATTTGAGCATCTTTAAGTTTACTGACAACATAAAATATTTCCATACTTTACTCCAGCAAACTTTTGTTGTTGGGAAGAAAGGCAGCCAGGACATGGTGACGAGGTATTAGGCTCTGACAGCTGACGTTCTGGATTATGCATATTTGCATTGTGAACTGCAAGTAACTACTTAACTTCAAGCCACGGTGAAATAGAATTCAATCAGCTAAGTGGCAGAACTGCAAAGGACCCAGGCTCCTCAAAGTTCCAATCAGCCTACCCGCACAAAGTCCTAAGCATGCACAGCTTGCTCTTTTCACCAAAAAGGTAGTTTTGCAATAATGCTCTTCCTTTCTGCATAGGCTGATAATACGGCAATGCTTTCAAAAGAAATATGTAAGTATGCATTACAGATGATTCTACGCTTCCTGTTAGAGATCCTAGCACTTTAATCAGCTTTTCTGCAATACATTCCAGCATCCACTATCTGGTGCCCAAGGACCACAATGAGTCAACAGCCGAAGCCATTTCTCACACCCTGCTTCACAGGAAAAAGTAGCATAATGAATTCAGAATCCTTTGTACACCGACAGCAAACCCGGGCTGCTTACTAGCGGCCACAGCACCAGATCTGTTTCCCTTTGGCTGAGACCACGGTGCTTTACGGAGCATCTGTACTCTTTAATAATATCCAGTTTGAGCAGCAATGGCTGAGCTCGAGACAAATGAAGTCAGAGAAGCCTGGAATGAGGAAAATAGATGGCCTCAAACATCACTTTTTCATTAGAATAAAGTGGGATGAAAACAAGTAGGCACAATGTTTGCTTCCTTTCTAAATAGTCATTATTATCAAATCTTGATACCTGCAAACATATATATGCCTATACAGATACACAAATTAATGTTTTATAAATGAAATCAGAATGAAGGTTAAAAATAAACTTCCCTTCATATTCTCTGAAGTAGTTAGAAATAATTTCTCTTTCTCTTAGGATACAGGCAAATTTTTCTTTTGAAGAAACATACAGAAGTCATGATTATTGATTTACATCAATTTCAACACTGTAACTAGCAGGGTCAAAGCAGAATGCGGTGCCGAATTGAGCCATTTTGTCTAGCTGGGATAACATGGAAAGTTTATGAGCACAGACTCACAGATTTTGAAAGCAGTAAGGGACTGGAAAAAAAAAACAAAACTGACCTTTCTGTCCTCTGCTTTCACAACACACAGGGCGTGCCCGGAGTGATGCTTGCTTTACACATGAAATGAAAGAGATGTAACTGGAAAGTCACCTGTCTAGATCACCCAACCCTGTAGCTCCAGAACAGATCTAACAAGTAAGTCCCCTTCTCTCAGATACAGTCTTGCTAGCCCTGCCTGGCTGGCCTGGTCCTTGCTTTGTAGCCTAGGTTAGCCTCGAACTCATAGTGATCTGTTTGCCACTCAGTCTCCTGAGTGCTGGGATTACTGGCATGTATCACCACGCCCAGTGGCTATCATATTCATTAGTTAATGAACTGGTCCTAAAGCAGTCAAACTGAGTGTCTAGTTCTACTACGATCCACCAGTCTCTCAGGCTCTGGAACTAGACTAATGTGCAGACAAAGAACCACCCAATTTGAACTTTGAAAGACAGGATTACATTAGAGGAAAGAAACCAAACTGTTAAGTACAAGAACATTTTATAAATCCAAGAATTAGTAGCTTTAAATAATATAATAAACCCAAATTTCCCATCAGAACCACTTTGAAGCACTGGGCTTATAAACATGGACCACTGGACCACAGGAAGAGAACTGAAGAAAATTCTTCTGGGTCTCTTCAAGTGATCAACACATTTCACATTTCCACAGCACACTTGAATTCCCGAACTTCTTAGATATCTCAAGGGCAGACCTTTGCAAAGCCTTCAGTCTCCATCACCATCTCCATCAAAGTTAATGCATGCACTCTCCTGGTGCCGGGGGCACAGCAGCCCCCGACCCGACAATCCTGATACTCCTGTACAGTGCTCACCAGTAGCACAAACTGGTAAGCTGATGCAGAAATCTTGGCACTGTGGTACCAGCAAATACAAAAAATTGATTCTTTTAGCCAAACCCACAGCCTATTTGGGGAATAAAATATTAGTTGAAGTGATGTGTTTCACTGTGTTTTGGTTTGAAGACTCAGAACCAGTTAAGTGGTTGTGAAAAGACTTCAGCTACAAGACCAGGAAACAATCTATTCTCTAGTCATTAAAGCTAGATCCTCAGGCAAACTAATTTTCCAAAAGACTGATACTCTATATAGAAAACAGGGTCTTAGTAATAATTAACCTATTGTTTTCATTCTAAAATCTTTCATGAAGACTTCTGAGACAAGGGGAAAACGTCAAAAGTCTTCCTAGGTTTTCAATCCTTGTTTCTATTCTTGAATCCTATCAAATCTTCTCGTTTCTTCTGGTGTGGCTTCAAAGTCCATACCATCAGCTCAATCTAAGGTCGCAATCAAAGGAAACACTCCACAATTTTTCAGAACAGAACACTTGAGGCTGTGGAGAGTTTTTTTTGGTTTCCTTTACTTCAATTGTCTCCTAAAAGCTCAGTAGCTAACATTAACTAGCTAACTAGGACAAAACTAACGCCTTCTGTTGCTCAGTCCCACCATTGTATTGCAGTAGTGTGCAGGAACTGTCTGTGTGACAAGCACTCGCTTCCATGCCTGCACACCCCTGCAACACAATGGTGGGACTTGTATTGCAACTGAAGGGTGCTCTGATCATTCAGAAGCCCCCGTTTAGCCCCTGTTCTTACTGTTAAAATTCTTGCAATCAAGACTCTAAATTTTTCTTTATGTTTACTATCCAACAACTGCTTCATCCCCATGAAATACAGGGAAACACTGACTAAGCTGGTCCCAATCCTTCCACACCAGAGAGGACAACTCCAT